TGGGAGCAATGATCGTCAGCCTCATGGCTTTGTTTACAAGTTATAGTTCGTTTGCAAAAAAGCACAATGTGAATGCAAACTGCACCAAACAAAAAAAGTCCATTTTTGGTCCGGACCAAACAATTGGACCAAAGGACTTTCCTGGTCTGAATACACCCCTACACACCATAATCACTCTAGCCTCCRATGCCCAGTCTAGACACGTAATCTTTTTACAAATTAAATCTTCKTCATTCATTTCATTTCATGAAAGAATAAAATAATCATAAATCCACTGCAGAATCAAACAATCAAATGACTTTGAAGACACTGAAGGACTGAAGCAAAATGTTTTTTTTTTTTACATAGGCAACATTTAAAGGTTGGATGGACATCATGTACGCAGCTGTGGACTCCAGAGGTGTAAGTCTGACTTGTTCAAAACCCATTAAAATTTTCATGTCTTTTTCTTCTGTGGCTGCATCTGAATTTTTAATCGTTTTGACTTTCCTTCCAGTTGGAGGACCAGCCTGACTATGAAGTGAACCTCTACATGTACCTCTACTTCGTCATCTTCATCATCTTTGGGTCCTTCTTTACCCTCAACCTCTTTATCGGTGTCATCATCGACAACTTCAACCAGCAGAAGAAAAAGATAAGCCGCACTTCTCAACATTCATTTTCTCATATGATGTTTGGGGGTCTCAATAGTTACCAGGACTGATTCTAGGAATGCGTATTTGTGGGGGCGAGCAGAAATGTAAAGGGGGAATCGTGTTCACCTCATGTTCCAGCACTTTTTTTTTTGTTAATATTTTCTTCATACGATTGGGCTGTTACTATTAGCAGTATGAGCTTTGTTCAAGATCTGTCCAGCTTGGATGTCCCACCTAAAGACAGCGTTCATGCTAGTGTAGCTCTTAAATTTATTGAGACATGCAAGCCCCCCGACCACAATAAGGTGGGAATCCTTCAGGGGAGGAAATATTAAAAATATCCTTCATCTAAGATTTAACAACACAACATTTATCTTGTTGAATGACCAGCGTGAGGTTATTAACCCTGACAAGAAGCTCTAAGACTGCTCCTCCTGCCTCGTGAGAGGCAGAGAGGAGCCRTGTTTCCATCCAAGTTTTTTAGTGCGCATTTTGAAGTATCACATTAGGAAAGGTGAATGGAAAAGGYAGGATTCAACAAAACTTCCTATAATTCACAAAAAAGTTGATACACTCACTTCAGGTGGTTTTGGGGTTGTTCTAAAAAGAGTTAATGTGCTAAAGGGGAGATAGAAACACATTTGCTCAATAAGTTCTGACGTAGAGAACATTGACCTCACATGATCAGCTGTTCTYGCTGTCTGAACGGTACCGGTACCAGAACCACTGCAGCTGGACCCTCCTCCTGCTGTCAGTGTCTCTCTACGTCTCCAGACAGCAGTAWCATCACCAAAACTAGTTGATAAGACAGAATAATTACAACTTTCCTGATAGTAGCAACATGTTCCTGATAACTTCTCTGCATTAACCTGACGTGTGTAGCTCTTGAGAGTTTGCTAGTTTTACTACATCTACAGCGGGTAAAATAAGTATTGAACACGTCACCATTTTTCTCAGTAAATATATTACTAAAGGTGCTAATGACATGAAATTTTCACCAGATGTTGGTAACAACCCAAGTGATCCATAATACAAAGAAATCAAACCATAAAGTTTGCTGCACAACATTTAAACAAGCCTGTGTAATACTGGGAGAATATAGTCTGGTCAGATG